AGCATTCAGGGCGATGATTGATGACGTTGCTGGGCCTCTCCGATTCTGCTGTCCTCGCTGCTCTGGTGCTCGCAGCTGTTACTGTTAAGGGAGTGGGGGGTGCTTGATTGATAATCACCGGATGTATGTTTAAGGGGCTGAGTTTTGTTAAATAGCACTGTGGTGTGATTACACCCAGCGCTGACTTTGAACCAAAACACCGACTTGTACTTTACTTTTGACTGCAAGCTTATCATTGCCAAAGTAAACCCTGATTCTCTGTGCGTTACCTGGTGATTATTTCCTATCGCAGTTCTGAACGAACGACAAGCCGAGAACAGCATTGATACTTCGAAAATCGACCACCAGTCTCATGGAGCCGTCCTTTTTCTCTTTAAACATGACCGGCGCCGCTACCCTTGGTTTCACTGGCTCAATAAATCCCCTTTGTAAGTTTTTGTCTATGTAGTCCCGCATTTCCTGCATTTCTCGGGGCGTCATAGCATACATTTTAGGTTTGGGTAGTTTCGCTCCTGGGATAATCTCGATGGCACAATCGGTCTCGCGGTGGGGGGGCAGGATGTCACACTCGGCCTCGCTGAATACCCCTGCAAGGTCTTGGTACTCCCTTGGGATCTGGTTTGCGTTACAAGCGGTGGTGGGTGCAGCTGCCAATTGTTTTGCTGCACCTTCTGGGAGGGAGCCTTGTGTTGGTGGTGTTTTCTTCTGTAGTGGAGGGCTGCTTTGGGGTTTCAGCGTGGGAGGAAATTCTTCTGGTCGGGGCGGCAGGGGTTGGGGCCCCTTTGCTATTCTCAGCCTGCGGGTTCCCTCTTGCCACCAAATGATTGGGCCCCATTTGTCGAGCCATGAGAGTCCCAATATGACTGGTTCTGTCATCTTGGGGGCTATTATGAAGCGGATCGTCTCCCAGTGATCTGCGAGTTCTAGTCTCACGGGTTCAGTCAAATGTGTGGCATATGTTCCTCCCACTAGGAACCCATCAACTTGCTCGAAGCGAATTGGTTGTTTGAGCTGTTTAGCTCGGATTCCCAATTTTAGAACTGTGGGTAGGTTGATTAGGCACCGTGTGCTACCCGAGTCTATTAGGGCTTGGAAAGTCTCTTGGGCCCCTGTTTTGGGGGCTGTTATGCGTATGGGGAAAAGAAAAGGATGGACGGGTCCACTCACCATCGGGTCATCCTCGCCTTCGTCTTCCGTGTCATAGGGTTCGGGGAACTGATCTCCCTCATCTGGGATTCCTCTGGTTTCGGTCAGATGAGCGAAAAACTCAGGGATTTGGGGAGTTTCCTGCGGTACGTGGGTGACGCGCTTGGGCCCTCGTTCCGGTCGTGCTTTGGGCGGTGGAGCTGGTCCCGGTCTAGGCGTTCCACATCTTGCTGCTATGTGGCCGCTTCCCCCACATCTGTAGCATTTCAGTGGGCTCCGTGGGGCAGTTGGTCTGTAGGAGGGCTGTGATGTTGGGGTTTCTCGTCTGTTGAGTGGCCCCTGGTCTGGTCGGCCTCTCTCCTTTCCCTCTGGTGGTTTTGACGTGTCAGTCGCCCGCAGCCCTCTGTCGACTTTTATCGCTACCCGGAACCATTCAGCGAGTCGGTTTGGGATGTCACGATAGGCAGTCACTTGGGAAATTCTTTTATCTAGGCTTGTTCTAAAAAAATACACCAGCAATCGCTCTGGTAGGGGAGGCAGTGTCCCAATGACTCTCCTGAATTCACGGATATGCTCTCTGATAGGCTTCCCCCTCTGCATTAGGTTTCTGAGTTCGTCTTCCACATAGGGGTCCTCCTCCTCCTCCTCATAACGGGATCTCAATAGTTGCAAGAACCCATCCGCATTTTGTAGCTGGGGGGCCCTGTATTTGTAGAGTGATGCTGACCACCTCTTTGCTTCTCCCTCCAGCCCTTCCCTGATAGCATTCACTAGGGCTCTGGGGAAAGGGTAGAGGTGTCCGAACCGCTCTATGTATATCTCAGCTGAATCGAGGAATTGGGCGAGGTTGTCTGGGTCACCATCGAACTTCCCTCTGAACTGGGGTGGCTCCTCCCTCTCTGCCCTCTCCTCTCTGTGCTGAGCTCTGGAGGGCCAGCCCTGGTGTTGATAGTCCTCTGCCTCGTCTCTCATCCTGGGGTGGGGAGGTGCTGCCTTGTCTGGGCTTCGCTGCCATTCCCATCCCCAGCTCGCCCTTCCCAATTCACTTAGGGGTTTTTCTTTATCTTTTAACTTTGCAAAAGGGGATTCCGCCTTTAAGGCTTTTGGCACAGTCCCCGGGTACTTATCTGCTTCACGTTTCTTTGCTTGAAGTTCTGCGGGGGGGGGGGAAGGTGGAGAAAGTTGAACCTTTGTATTTTCCAAGTTGGCTGGAATCACGACCGCTTCTGCTCCTCCCGTTTCTTGAAGCAGGCTTTCCTCCGATAGCTTGGCTTCAGCCATAGTCCGTCCGACCAGTTGTGTGGGAGGGAACGGGATGATTTAAACTCAGCCAGCCTGGATTTGGAGGAGAGTTGAGCTGTCTGTCAGGTTTCGGTTCTGTCTTAAAATAAGTTTCATTTTCAAGCGCAGTCTCTAATGAATCATTCTTTATTAAGAACAGAAATAGCCGACATTTCTGAGGCTAATTGCAGCTCAACTGGCCCCTCCTTCCAATCCCCTCCTCTTCCGCTCTCCAACCCGATTTCTCAGTGGCCATTAGCCAATCCATCTCTCCGTCCTGGCACGTACTTCTCACAGGAATGTGACCCCCACCCTCATCCCCCAGAAAACCCTATCTCTTGCATGCAGAAAACTAGGTAAAAGTTCATCTCAGCAATAATTCAGCACTTCTGGTCTTCATGACAGCACTGGAAGAGAGCATAAGTTGGAGTGCTGACATCGGGATTCCGGGAAGTAGTAAAATTTACATTACCATCCATATTGCGGGATCTCTCTGCCAGATGGAAGTAGATACAGGGTCAGCAACAATAATCGTATCCTGGCAGATCCCACAGAGATTAGTGCCACATGGAGCCGAGCGGAAGTTTATGTGTAGCCATATTCGTTTTGAGAGATTATCAAGGAAATAATATCCCCATCAAGGGTAGCAGAACCTTACATGTAGAATATAAAGACTTCTCCGGGCCACTTAAATTGGTTTAAATCTTAAATCTTTTTTAGCTGTTCTAGCATAAATTGCCAATTCAGATTGTCAAACGCTTTCTGTGCATCTAAGAAGATCAACACCATTTACTTCTCTGGATCTACTTCATAATACTCCAAGGTGTTCAGAATTATTCTCATGTTATCTTTAATTTGTCTCTTAGGTAGAAAACCATTTTGATCCGGATGTATGAGTTGGTTTAAAAATCGTTTTAGTCTTTCTTGACTAAAAATGTATTTTTATTGGCACAAAATGCATTTCTTCTATTTCTGTAGGCTTGCCTGCATATATGCAGCACAAAAATAGCATATCAAGGCATCCTTTTCCCTTTACATTTTCTTCTTGTTAAGTAGCTGAAATAGTTTTATATATAGTCTAGGTAAATAGAAAAAATACAAGAACAAAGCTTGAGCAACACTAGAGCTAACTGAGAAGGCATGTTCCAGGACCCCTCCATTAAGCAATGTAATTGTTTGAGCACAAAATTGTGCCTTCTCAGTGGCATTTGTCCTATGGAACAGTACCTTCTGGATTGTCCCAATCCTGTTAGCACTTCACAAGGCATTGGAAACCTAGCAATTGAATAAGGGGTGGTGGTAAGTGAGCTCTATGGCTTCCTTGGCCCTGTGATTATTTTTTGGAGTTGTTTTAATTAGGTAAGCCAGAGTGGCTTATATGTGATAGGCTGCTAAATAAATTAAATACAAATACAATAAGGATAAAAGAAAATATTGCCAGAGGGAAGAAGTGTGATTAGTACAGTCATGCTTAGATAACAGGTATATTATGTAAGCAAGGAAGATGATACAGAACAGGATAAACAATTAAATTAACAATTTAATTTAATTTAATTAACAATTAAATAATTTTTTGGCATCCTGGGAGCCGCAGGGGAACATCACTAATATGAACATATCACTAGAGTGAGTGGTTTAAGGGCACCCTCTAAGACAAAAAAATAGGGAATCTGTAGCCTCCATGCTTCTTCTAACATCTGTAATAGGAAAGCTATTAGGAAAGATTGTCAAGTAGCCAGTCTGCAAGCAACCAGAGAAGAATGGTACTATTTCTAGAGTAGCAGCATTAGATTAACCATATTAATGGTTTTTAACCATTTAAAAACTGAAATGAATATTTTGGTAGACCAGTGTACCTTGATTGTAGTAAAATGTTCGATAGTTTGAAATTTTTGTCACAAGTTAATTAAATATGGGCTAGGGGGAACTGTAATCTAATGGATTTGCAACTGGATGAATATCCAAAAGGTATAATAAATGCGATTTCCAGGACCCAATACTCTTCAGCATCTTTCTAAATGAGCCTAGAATAGCATGGGATATCCACAACATTTGCAGATGACATTCACCTAAGCAGATTGGTACAATTCTAAAGATTCACCTTTCTAGTGAATTGCCAGATAAACAAGAACAAATAGTGTGATGCAGCTGCATTAGCAGAGGCACTGTATCCAGATCAAAAAAGGTAGTACTTGTATTATATTCAGCAATGAATGGACCACAATTAAGATTACTGAGTCCAGTCCTAGGTATCTTGCTATAAAACAGACATGCAGAAGTTAGAATGGTTTCAGAAGAGATACTAAAATGATAATGTTTCTGGAAACCAAGCTCAGTGAGGAATGGCTGAAAGAGATGGGCATGTTTAGCTTTTAAAGGGAAAATAAAAGGAGATACAATAAGCACGTAGACATATCAAAAAGGTTGCCAATTGACAACAATGAAGTATACTTATTGAAATATATCACAAAATTTCCATTTATAACACTGTTCCTCCTTTTTTTCCTTAACCGTTTTTCTCCTTGCCACTTTCACACTGAGACAATGGAACAAAAAACAAATCAACAAAAATATGCTGTGAGGAAAAATTGTAATTATTTCTATAAATTAAAATTACAATAATTATGGAGATTAAGTGTCTCATGGCAAATTTTCTCTCATAATTTAATTGAGCCTCCATTATCCATTAATATTAAATGTTGAATGACAATATATGATCTTTCTTATAAATTCCTAGAGAAATCCAGTTAATGTTGGACTAAATTAACATTTGAAAAATGGCAGCAAGAGGGAAGACAAATTAAATAGTTAGGGATAATGGAAATTCTTCTTTGTTTATCAGTAAGAGTGGAATCATGTCTTTAAAAAAACCCAACTTTATATGAATCCCTGCCCCATCTTTAATTTCAATATGTATTCTTACAAGTTTTTCCAGACTTTAAGATTTTTATGAAAGTACCTTCCCTCCATCCTGGAAACTGAGAGCCAACCTATTTGTTCAACTTGGTTCAATTCATAACACACATATGTTACTAGATTATCTTGGGGATCCAAATATTTTTAGAAACTTTTCTATAAAATCTGAATATTTTTAAAATATTTTCATTGGCAAGAGAGATAAAATTATTTTTCTTATTTCAGGAGAACTTCCCAGCTTGAGGTGGGGGGCCAAGGAATCCTCCAGCCTGCTTGGTGGCAGCTCGGGAAGGAGCCAGACCCAACAGCTTCTGAATATTCTGATAAAGGAATAAAAAGACAGAAGCACTGAGTAGTGCATTTAAAATAAGCTTTCCCTTAATAGTCAAACCATATGCAAACACTGTTAATCAACCTCAAATAATTACTAGTTTCATTTACAAATTGAAAAAGTAGGTGTGCTTAATCTGTACCATTCTGATTATAAAGAAATAAAACTGTAATTATTAAGTACAGTTAAGGGATTTTGAGAACTTATATTCTCCTGTAAGAAATAAAGGAGATAAAATGAAGATTTAGATTCCAGTATACAAATAAGCTGACTGATGTAATAATTTCAATTCAATTATTGCAGTTGTTCAATTTTCTTTATAGTGTTAGAGAAATGATTTGCTATTGCCTTCTTGTGGCCTCCCCACAACTTTTCAATTTAGGAAGCACCTCAATTTAGGAATTCCTAATGATTCTCCATATAATCATAGCTAACTTTGTTTGGCATGAAATCAGCCAAGACTGGCTAAGTGTTACCACCTTCTAAGTCACCATTCAATTACCAAATATGTATCGTGTAGTATGATGTGGTATAGTACAGTATATCATACAGTATTTATTTTTATATCTGTATTTTATATTTTGCAGTTTGGAATTTTTGTTTGCTCCGATTCACTTAATACTGTTAACTACCTTGACTATTCAATTTTTCTTGAAACATATACAAATCAAATTAGAACTTGAATTTTGCCAACTGCTGCTATCCAAGTTAGTCTGGGTAAAATGTCTTTTCAAGCAACATACCCTGTAGTAGCATAAAATATAGTATCCTCAATATTTCAGGAAATGTGTATGGAATTGAAGTTGTTCCAATACAATTAATAGGCTTTGAAAGCAATAGCAATAGGACTTATATACCGCTTCACAGCCCTCTCTAAGCAGTTTACAGAGTCAGCATATTGCCCCCAATAATCTGGCTCTTCATTTAACAAAGTAATTTAACAAAACACATTTCTGAACTCAGAATAAATCTAATTACTGTATTTTTCAAGTATAAGACGCTCCGGACTAAAAGACACAAAATAGTTTTAGAGGTGGAAAACAAGAAAAAAAAATCTGCTTCTGCCTTCCAGCATTCATCTGGTATTCATCTGACTAGCATCCTTGCAACAAGCAGCAAACAGCCTGTCTCCTCATCTGCTGCCTCTGCTGGAGCCTTCGCTGCCGAGCAGCTTATTGGCGGTTGGATCAGCCTCCCGGAATACTGACAATTACTTGTTCTAGGTGGCGGGGATCACCGCCGCCATTTGCCGCCGCCTATTGGCAGTGATCAGCAGTGGCAAACAGGCAGTGGCGATGATAGGCACTGGTGATTCCCGCTGCCTAGAACAACAGTATTGGCAGTATTCCAGGAGGCTGATCCAACCGCCAATCAGCTGCTCAGCATTGAAGGCTCCAGCATTCCCTGGCAGAAGCAGCAGACATGGAGGAGGCAGGCTGTTTGCTGTCACACCAACATCCTCCCCATCGCAATATTCGCTCTATAAGAGACACAGACATTTCCACCCACTCTTTTGGGGGTGGAGTGTCTTATAGCGCGAAAAATACGGTATCCCTAGCTTTTCAGACATGGTGTTAGACTCCTAATGTATTATAACGGAGTTTCCTTACGATACCAAACAAGAAAGACAGTTACTAAAATTATAACACACAGTAGCAAAGACACAAACATTCTAGGATTAGAATGATGATGATGATCATCATCATCATCATGACAACTACCCTTGTCCAAAATCGATCCACTGGATGATGATAATTTGAGATAATTTGAAGGCAATAGACCAGTGATGGCGAACCTTTTCAGCACCAAGTGTCGTCTGGGATCAGGAATAGTTGCCCAGGGTGCATGCATGTGCAAGAAAATGTACTTCTGGTTTCTGGCGCACACATGTGCACTAGCTGGCAAATCTTCAGGTTACTGCTGCGCATGCTCACCCCAGAAAATGGAAGACCAGCTCTTCCAGTTTCCAGCACTGACGCAAGCAGAAAGGCCAGCTGGTCGTTGCATGCACATGTGCACCAGAAACAGGTGACTTCAGGCACACGTGCCATAGGTTCACCATCATGGTAATAGACTATAATCTACCACTCACAGACAGATACATAGGATAAAGAGTCTAGAACCCAGATACTGTCCAAAGTCACCCAGTCTAGAACGACTGGTCCAAAGTCACCCAGTCAGCTTCTGTGTTTAACAGAGCTAGAACCTAGGTTTCCCTATTCCTAATCCAGCATATACATACATACACATATTTATCCCCCATTCCTAATCCAGCACATACACACATAAATATAAAATGCACAGAGATATACACTAAGAAATGAGAGAAATAGACAAGTGTTCCATTTTGTTGAAATTTTAAAATGTTTACTAGAAAAAGCACAACAGATCCATCAGTAGCAAACTACACCAATCATTGCTTCTAATTCTCTAGAGCAGCGGTTCTCAACCTGGGGGTTGCGACCCCTTTGGGGGTCGAACGGCCATTTCACAGGGGTCGCCAAAGCCCTCTCTCGCCCCCCCCACACCTTCACTCACCCTCACCCTCTGCCTCTTTGGATCGCCGTTCGCTTACCCTGCCCACTCCCAATCTATTGCTGCCTCCGGAGTCCCAGCTGATGGCTAGAGGGAAAAAAACTTTAAATTCTTGCTGTGGGGCTTCAAAGAGCCGCCCTACAGCTGATCAGTGTTAAAAGAAAACAAATGAATAGACCAGTGCCTGCAAAAATAGAAAAAACAGCCCCTTTCAGCTTCAGCATAGGTTAATTACCATAAGTTGATTTGATCAGCCTCCGGTCTCTCAGCTGATTTGCTCTCAGCTGTTTTGTGGAGGGCTCTGTTGCTAGCTAGCTGCAAAGAGGTAAATTCCTGGAGAAGATTTTTTTCCCCCTAGTTATGCTGAAAAAGTGAAATTGAAAGTAAAGCAGGGTCTTTGCTGCAACATGACTGTCACTGCGTTATTTTATTTACCAGCTGAGCTCATCATTTCTGGACTATCAGACTTTCCGTACCTTGCCAAGAATTGTTATCAAAAGCTACTACGCATGTCCATCCACCCACATTCCTTCACACACTTTTTCCTTCGTTCTCTTGCCACGGGTGCCGGTTGCTGGAAAGCAGCCGGCCCAAATTATTTTCAAAATGTAGCAATTATCTTTCTTAGTTAGTGAGGTGTTTTATTTTCTTTATAACAAATAAATGAGTTTTATTAGAGAACTTTTCTTCGGGTTTTCTTTCCAGAATATTGCAACTTGGAGAAAGCCACGATCCATCCTCTAATCAGGGTGATTTGTCCCAGAGCCAATTATGGGATTAATCGATGCCCTGACAGTGACAAAATGAGGCAGAGAGATTTCTTTTTCTTTTTCCTCACCAAAAAAGGTAGGTGCAAAACTGTTCTTAGCTGTTCTTTTACTTCTCCACATAATCACCACCACTTACTACAAACCTTTCCCACAAGGGGCAAGATTTTTAAAGCTGTGAAATAATTCTACAATTCCATCTTTTCAACAAGATCCTGACAATCTTTTCTACTCTTTGAATCAGGTTTCCCATAATGATATCCTTTCATGGTCATATGGTGCCATTTCTGAACTGTATAGTCGATGAGGTAAATTAGTTAGATTCAACTTTGCCATAGGGCCAGTAGTTTTCAATATCTTCATCAATAATTTAGATGATGAGATAGATCAGCGGTTCTCAACCTGGGGGTCGCGACCCCTTTGGGGGTCGAACGGCCATTTCACAGGGGTCACCAAAGCCCTCTCTCGCCCCCCCCCTGCCTTCACTCACCCTCACCCTCTGCCTCTGTTGGATCGCCCGGTCGCCGTTCGCTTACCCCGCCCACTCCCAATCTATTGCTGCCTCCGGAGTCCCAGCTGATGGCTAGAGGGAAAAAAAACTTTAAATTCTTGCCGCGGGGCTTCAAAGAGCTAGCTGCAAAGAGGTAAATTCCTGGAGCAAGTTTTTTTCCCCCTAGCTATGCTGAAAAGAGAAAGCGAAAGCAGGGTCTTAGCTGCAACGTGACAAAATGAGGCAGAGAGATTTCTTTTTCTTTTTCCTCACCAAAAAAGGTAGGTACAAAACTGATTTGCTCTCAGCTGTTTTGCTCAGGGCTCTGCTGCTTGTTGGAGCAGATTTTTTTCCCCTAGCTATGCTGAAAAACGAAACTGAAAGTAAAGCAGGCTGTTGGCTTTGCTGTTGCTGCAACGTTGGAAAATTAGGCAGGCAGATTTCTTTTCTTTTTCCTCACCAAAAAAGGTAGGTGCAAACAATGGGAAATTTAGGGAAAAAGAGGAGAGTTCAAGATTTTAAAACACAAAAGAAAAAAAGCTCTATTTAACTAGGGAATTGTAATAATTGAGATACTATTAATTGTATATTGCGTTGAAAGCAGAAATGGTTAAGTTGTGGTTTGGAGGAATATATGGGGGAAATTATTTGGTTTATTATTATTGGTAAATATAATTAATTGATTTGTAAGAAATTGGATTGCATGGAAATAATTGGAATATTCATGTTCATATTGATTAATATACAAAAAAAGATAGTTATATAACTAATTTTTTTTAAAATTTGATTTATATGCCGCCCTTCTCCGAAGACTCACATGACCGGCTAGCCACGCCCACCCAGTCACATGACCTCCAAGCCACGCCCACAAAATAAGACACGCCCACAGAACCGGTAGTAAAAAAAATTTAGAACCCACCCCTGGTTGGGGGTCACCACAACATGAGGAACTGTATTAAAGGGTCGTGGCATTAGGAAGGTTGAGAACCACTGCTCTAGAGTTTTTCTACCAGTTATGGTTATTCAGCCACAGAAGTAAAACTCAAAGCAGACCTTACCTGCCGAATAGACATGGTGCAGAGAATATAGAGAAAGATGAAAGAACAATCTGTGCAATCTTCACCCAGAAGATTACGATGAGACAAGCCCTGAATGTAAGAAAGTGGTATGAATGGGAGCTTTGCAACCACTCTTCCGTCAAATCTGCAAAAAGAATTTGGTTTATATTATTTGCAGAGTAATTTCAATACAGAGGTAAACAATATTTTGTTTATAAGCAACATTTTGCCCCACATTAACAAAATAACATTACATTTAGGGCAAAACATAAAATTACAAGTACAGAAAAAGGAGTGACATTCCCATCTCCATAGACTTAGTTTATAAATGGATATTTTAATAAATTAAACAGGAAAATAATCCTTGAAATGAGCTTTAGTAGTTGTTCTTTTACTTCTCCACATAATCACCACCACTTACTACAAACCTTTTCCCACAAGGGGCAAGATTTTTAAAGCTGTGAAATAATTCTACAATTCCATCTTTTCAACAAGATCCTGACAATCTTTTCTACTCTTTGAATCAGGTTTCCCATAATGATATCCTTTCATGGTCATATGGTGCCATTTCTGAACTGTATAGTCGATGAGGTAAATTAGTTAGATTCAACTTTGCCATAGGGCCAGTAGTTTTCAATATCTTCATCAATAATTTAGATGATGAGATAGATCAGCGGTTCTCAACCTGGGGGTCGCGACCCCTTTGGGGGTCGAACGGCCATTTCACAGGGGTCACCAAAGCCCTCTCTCGCCCCCCCCTGCCTTCACTCACCCTCACCCTCTGCCTCTGTTGGATTCGCCGGTCGCCGTTCGCTTCCGCCCACTCCCAATCTATTGCTGCCTCCGGAGTCCCAGCTGATGGCTAGAGGGAAAAAAAACTTTAAATTCTTGCCGCGGGGCTTCAAAGAGCTAGCTGCAAAGAGGTAAATTCCTGGAGCAAGTTTTTTTTCCCCCTAGATATGCTGAAAAGAGAAAGAGAAAGCAGGGTCTTAGCTGCAACGTGACAAAATGAGGCAGAGAGATTTCTTTTTCTTTTTCCTCACCAAAAAAGGTAGGTACAAAACTGATTTGCTCTCAGCTGTTTTGCTCAGGGCTCTGCTGCTTGTTGGAGCAGATTTTTTTCCCCTAGCTATGCTGAAAAATGGAAACTGAAAGTAAAGCAGGCTGTTGGCTTTGCTGTTGCTGCAACGTTGGAAAATTAGGCAGGCAGATTTCTTTTCTTTTTCCTCACCAAAAAAGGTAGGTGCAAACAATGGGAAATTTAGGGAAAAAGAGGAGAGTTCAAGATTTTAAAACACAAAAGAAAAAAAGCTCTATTTAACTAGGGAATTGTAATAATTGAGATACTATTAATTGTATATTGCGTTGAAAGCAGAAATGGTTAAGTTGTGGTTTGGAGGAATATATGGGGGAAATTATTTGGTTTATTATTATTGGTAAATATAATTAATTGATTTGTAAGAAATTGGATTGCATGGAAATAATTGGAATATTCATGTTCATATTGATTAATATACAAAAAAAGATAGTTATATAACTAATTTTTTTTAAAATTTGATTTATATGCCGCCCTTCTCCGAAGACTCACATGACCGGCTAGCCACGCCCACCCAGTCACATGACCTCCAAGCCACGCCCACAAAATAAGACACGCCCACAGAACCGGTAGTAAAAAAAATTTAGAACCCACCCCTGGTTGGGGGTCACCACAACATGAGGAACTGTATTAAAGGGTCGCGGCATTAGGAAGGTTGAGAACCACTGAGATAGATGGTGAACTCATCAAATTTGCAGAAAAAAGCTAGCAGGAATACCCAACACTCCAGAACAGGGGTTCCCAACCTGTGGACCATAGCTCCCTACCACCAGGCTGCGAGTGGCCGGCTGGTGTGCACGCTTGAACCAGCGTTGCCACAAGCATTGCAGTTGATTGCGGCCCCACTCACATGAGCATCATCGCGGGCAGCCGCGGTCCCATTCACATGAGCATCGTGGGCACTCATTCCTCTCGCACAAGACTCATTGCGGCCGCTTGCTGTCCAATTCATGCGAGCCATGTCACGGGCCCTTGCGGTCCCACTCGCACTCGCCTCGTCACAGGCTTTTGTAGTCCCACTCACATGAGGGTTGTCAAGGGAGGTCACATTCGCGTGAGCCTCATTGCAGGTGCTTGCGGTCCCACTCGCACAAGTGTCACCACTAGCATTGAGGGTAATCGCGACTCCACTTGCACAAACATTGTCGCAGGCAGTTGCGGCCCCATTCGCGCATTGTTGTAGACACTTGTAGTCAGTCCACCTGTCCCTCTCGCACAAGCCTCATCAAGGGCAGTCGCGGTCCCACTTGCATGAACCTCGGTGCAGGTCTCATTTGGGCATTGTCGCACACAGTCACGGTCCCACTCACGCAAACCTCACTGCAGGCAGTTGGGGTCCCACTCGTGTGAGCCTCGTTGTGACCACTTGCAGACTCACTCACGCGAACGTCCTGGCCACATGTACATACACATGTTCCTGCCCCCTCCCAAAATCATCCCCTTTCCCCCCTCCCCTCCCCACTCTGGGCTGCCATCCTGGAAAGGTTGAGGAACTCTGCTCCAGAAGACAAGCTTAAGATACAGATGGAGCTTGACAGACTTGAACATTGGGCTCAATCTAACAAAATGAAATAGTGAAAAAAGTAAGGTTCCACATTTAGGCAAGAAAAACAAAATGCACAGGTACAGTATATGTGGTACCTGACTCAATAGTAGTAACTGTGAGAGGGATCTTGGAGTCCTAGTGGACAATCATTTAAATACGAGCCAGCAGTGTGCTGCAGCTGCCAAAACAGCCAACACAGTTCTAGGCTGCATAAACAGAGGAATAGAATGGGCGTTGACTTACCTGAACGCTTCTTCTCGTTGTTCTGGCTCCAGTGGTCAGGATTGGGTAGTGACACGCTCCAGTTATTGATTGAGTCTGCAAAGCTGAGAAGCTCCTCCCCTTTGTCTTGCCTCCCAGCTTTCTGATGAAAGACAGCAACACAGACAGGCACTTTGAGCTGTAAGATAAAGAAAGAAAGATCCACAGAATCCTCTCCACCAACGAGGGCACCAACAGGGTGGGGCTGACCACTGGAGCCAGAACAACGAGAAGAAGCGTTCAGGTAAGTCAACGCCCATTCTCGTTGATCCTGGCTCCAGTGGTCAGGATTGGGACATACCCAAGCCTAACTTCGTAGAGAGGGACCTGCCCGAGAGGGTGGGGAAGTTCCCAGGTGAACCTGTTGGAGGACCCTGCGCCCGAAGGCCGCCTCGGCCGAGGCAAACCAATCAAGACGATAGTGTCTAATAAAGGGAGTGGGGGACGCCCAGGCGGCGGCCCTGCAGATTTCCTCCAAGGAAGCCTGAGTGGCCCAGGCGACCGAAGTGGCCGCACTACGGGTAGAGTGAGCCGTGATACGGCGAGGGACCGGGATGGAGAGGACCTCGTAAGCCTTTGCGATGGTGGCGCGGATCCAACGACCCAGAGTGGCCGCCGAAATCTTCCTGCCCAAGGAAGATGGCTGAAAGGAAACCAGGAGGGCTTCGGTCTGGCGCAGAGAAGAGGTACGTCGCAGGTAAATGCGGAGGGCCCTTCTGACATCCAGAGTATGCCAAGCCCTTTCAAGGGGATGGGTAGGATGAGGGCAGAAGTCGGGAAGGACTAATTCCAGGGCCCTATGGTAAGGGGAATTGATCTTGGGCAGAAAGGTAGGGTCCAATCTGAGAACCACCCTGTCGGGGTGGAAAATACAAAGGTCCTCTCGGGCTGAGAGGGCCGCCAAGTCCGACACCCTCCTGGCCGATGTGATGGCCAGAAGGAAGGCTACCTTATACGAAAGGAACCGTAATCCTACTTCCCTAAGGGGCTCAAACGGGGCCCTGGTTAGGGCATCCAGGACCCGAGGAAGATCCCAGGTGGGATATCTATGGAGAGGAGCAGGCTGAAGGTTGGAGGCTCCCCTGAGAAATTGCCGAATAAGTGGGCGGGAGGCTAGGGAACCCCGTGAACCACAGCAAAGAATGGAGGAAATTGCCGCTACTTGCCTGCGGAGTGTGTTGGGAGCCAAACCTGAGTCAAGTCGATCCTGAAGATAGATGAGGACCTGCTCCGTGGAGGCCGCCGTAGAGGCGATGGAATGTCTGTCGCACCAAGACGAAAAAGCCCTCCAGGTGGAGTCGTAGATCCGGGTGGTTGAGGGCCTACGAGCTGCCTGGATAGTCGCTACGACACTGGGCGGAAGACAACGGGAACTCAGTAGACGCCGCTCAATCGCCAGGCGGTTAGTTGTAGCCATGCGGTGTCCGGATGAAGAAGAGACTCTTGACGGAGGACGACTCTGTCCGGAGGAAGACGCCATGGAGGCCGAACCGAGAGGGCCATCAGATCCGCGAACCAAGGCCGGCGGGGCCAATGGGGGGCGATGAGCAGCAGTTCCGCCTTCTCCTGTAGCATCTTCCTGATGACTTTGGCAATGACTGGGAGTGGAGGGAAGGCATACAGAAGGCCGGGGGGCCATGCGCTGTGGAGAGCGTCCACTGCCTCCGCTCCTGGCTCCGGAAACCGTGAAAAGAACCTCTGGGTCTGCCGATTGGACTGTGTGGCGAAAAGGTCCAGGACTGGAGACCCCATCAGGGAAGTGATCTCCGCAAAAAGCCGAGGGTCCAGAGACCACTCCCCGGGGTCCACTGTGGCCCTGCTCAGCCAATCCGCCTGAGAATTCTGGAGACCGGAGATGTGTGCTGCCTTCAAAGATTTGAGGTGTGTCTCCGCCCAGGAGCCCAGTCTCTCGGCCTCCTCCATGAGGTGTCGAGAGCGGGTCCCTCCTAGGCGGTTTACGTGGGCTTTGGCGGCCACGTTGTCCGTCCTGACGAGGACATGCCTGCCCTGTACCTTGTGGGCAAAGACCCGAAGGGCCAGGTGGATGGCCCGGAGCTCCAACCAGTTTATGTTGTGCTCTAAATCCGCTCGAGTCCAGCGACCTTGAGCAAGGGAAGAGGAAAGGTGGGCCCCCCAGCTGTGAAGGCTGGCGTCTGTAGTCAGGACCAGACACTGCTGTTCCCTGAACTCCCTCCCCTGGAGGAGGGCCCCCGAGTTCCACCAATCGAAGGACCTGAGCACTTTGGGGGGAAGGTGGACAATTCGATGGGAGGACCCCAGCCCCTGTTTCTGGTAAGGGAGGAGGAACCACTGCAGGGGCCTGCAGTGGAGACGGGCCCAGGGAACTATGCCGATGCAAGATACCATCTTTCCCAGGAGTTGGGAGAGGGAGGCCAGGGGAGAGCCCTTCGCTGTCCTCACTGCCCTGACCAGAGACCGCAGGCTGGCCAGGCGATCCCGGGAAAGATAGACCTTGCATTGACCCGTGTCGATAACAGCCCCTAGATGCTGGAGCCGAGTAGTCGGGATTAGATGACTTTTGGCCCGATTTATAGAAAACCCATTGGCCTCCAGAACCCGGATAGTGGTCGTAAGGTCCCGAAGAGCCTGAGGCTCCAAGACTGACTAGACCAGAAGGTCATCCAGGTAGAACTGCATCCGGATGGGAATGGCCCTGAGATGGCCCGCTATGGCGGCCATCAATTTCGTGAATACCCTGGGGGCCGATGAGAGGCCGAATGGGGGAGCCCTGTACTGGCAGTGCTGGTTCGAGAAGCAGAATCGAAGAAACCTGCGGTGGGCCGGGAGGATGGGGACATGGAGATACGCCTCCGTCAGGTCGATTGACGAGAGGTAATCTCCGATCCTGATGCCCTCTAAGATGGTCTGGAGGGACTGCATCTTGAACCGCCAGTAGACGATCCGGCGGTTCAGGGATTTGAGGTCTAAAATCGCCCTCCACCCCCCTGAGGACTTTCGAATAACGAACAAGCGTGAATAGAAGCCTTGTCCATGCTGCCCCTGGGGCACAGGTTCGATGGCCCGAATCTCTAGTAGGTGACGGATGGCAGAAGCCACCAAGAGCCGGGATGGTCGGCTCTGCGAGATGGGACAGCGAAGAAACCTTTCTGGGGGGGGAGGAGAGGAATTCGAGAGAGAGGCCAGAACTGATAGTCCGCTTGACCCAGGCGTCCGACGAGGTAGCTGCCCACTGGCTGGCGAAGGACGCCAGGCGGCCTCCAATGGGTAGCTGGGCCAAGCCGTCAGCGAGACCTACGGAACCCCCGCCCCCTTCCCCCACGAAAGGGCCGTCTGGGAGGACCTCTAGGAGGGGGACCTGGACGGTCCTGAGGTCGAAACTGTCTAGGAGTGGGAAACCGTTGACGACGGCTTCCTGAGAAACCCCCCTCAGAAGACCGGAATGGGCGGAAGGAGGATTGGGACCTGAAGTCAGATCGCCGGGACAAGCTAGGCAGGATGCGGCGTTTGTCCTTGGACTCAACCAAGAGGGGATCCAGAGGAGCCCCGAAAAGCTTGGGCCCTTCAAACGGGGAAGAAGCGAGGCGCCATTTAGATTTAGCATCCGCTTGCCACTGGCGGAGCCAGAGCAAGCGTCTAGCAGCTATAGAGGAACCGATGGCCTTGGCAGTGAAGCGAGAAGAATTTAAGGTAGCATCCGCTGAAAAGTCTAGGGCAACAATAACCTTGCTTATGTCTTGGTGAGTCCTTAGGTCGGAGACCGGGAGTCTGGCCTGGAGTTGGCGGAGCCATAAGATAGAGGCTCGGTTAAAAAAGGAGGCGGCCAAGGAAGCCTTGACCGACCAGGCAGTGGCCTGGTGTGATCTAACTAGGGAATGCTCCAGCCGTCTATCCTCCGGGCGTAGACCTTTCTCAGGAAGCCCCGTCAAATTAGCGGGGGCTGACAATTCCGCTACAGGTTGGTCTACTGCAGGGACCTGCAAGAGAGGACGGTTCCGGTGCCAAGTTATAGAGACGTCTGTCATTAGCATTGGGGCTGGGTCCAGAAGCAGGGGCAGCCCATTGACGTTGAAGGACATCCCTAAATATCTTGGGGCCAGGGATTTCCTCAGATTCAATGGCAGGCTCCTCAAAGAGGGGAATGGAAGAGGAAGGGCCTTCCCCCGCATTAACCGATGAGGTATGAGAGGAACCCAAACCTGTGACGGCCTTGGCCTTGTGGAGCAGGGAACGAAAAAGCTGGGGCTTAAAGAGACCCACAAATGCTGGTTGGTCTGGGGCCAGACCTTCGTCATCCGACAAATCCTGGTCCATAGGATCAGGAGCTGCTAAGGATTCCCTGTCCGACTGATCAGGAGAACCTGCCCGGGCTAGAGACTCTGGTCCATGAAGAGCTGCATCGGCAGCAGAGACAATGGAGCCTTCAACATCAACCTGTGAAAGGGAGCGACTGGAGCCCCAAGAGGAGGTTTTCTGCAGCTCCTCCCTAACACCCATTTTGATGGCTTCCCTGATGAAAGAAGCCAAATCAGAGGATATCTGATTGCCTAAGGCTAAGGAAGGGGGGGCCAAAGGAGAGGGGGCCTGTGTAGGATTTTCCTGGGGTTGTGGCTGGACAGGAGAAGCTTCAGGTTGAGCTCCAAATAATGCCACATTGACCGCCCTAGGCCCGACAACTGATGGGGTGTCCCTATCTGGGGACAAGGTAGGGGATGGAACTTGGTCAGAATTATCCCCTTTATCAGGCTGAACCTGGGGATCAGCGTTTGTAGGGCCTGCAGAAACAGGTGGTGGACTTGCAGAATGGACCACACCAGGAGATGGAAGGGGGCTAATGGTGGCTTTCTCCTGCAAGGAGGCTGCCTGGATGGCCTTCTGGATCGCCTTTTCAATAGCCTTATGGCGCTTTAGCTCTTCCCTGGACAAAGCAGAAGATTGGGAAGGCTTAGACCCCTTTGTGGTATGATGGGTCTTTTTGCTTTTCTTAGCAGGAACAGGGTCAGAGGATCCAGGTTCTTCCTGTTGTAATGGTTGTTTGGCCGATCTGGAAGGCCGTTGGGAAGCCATGAGAACTCCTCAATTCCCCTGAGGGTTCAGAGGGGAAGCTGAAAGAAAGGGCAAGGCAGACAGTTAAAGAGGCCTTTCGCTTTACAAGGCCTCTAGTCGCCACGAGGCCTTCCCAAATTGGCTGCCGGTACACTTAAAATGGCCGCCGGACCTGCCCAAAATGGCCACCGGTACACTTAAAATGGCTGCCGGTACACTTAAAATGGCCGCCGGAACATTACAAATGGCCAAGGGAACTAATAATGGCCGCCCAGACTCCTAAGCCAACTCCCCTCTTACTTATATTTGGAATCCGGCGATTGGGAGATGATCAGCAGAGCCGATCCACCCGAGGGGCTGGGGCTGCTGAACGAGGTTCTCCGCTGCTGCGATGAGCCCAGAAGCCGTTCGGAAGGGCTGCGGCTAACAGGGGCCTCTGGCCTCGTGATCTGCCCCCAAAGCGGCTCCGTTGATAAAGATCGCCGCGATCTGCTGGCTATCGGATCCCCGATAGCCTCTCCGACGCCTCTGCCTGGCCAGGCAAGAGGCTAGCCCCTTGTATGCAGCGGTAGAGGGAACGAGCCCTCCACGCTAGGGTGAGGACCAGGCTCAACCAGCCGGGAACCTACAGTCCTCACCAGCCAAATTTGGCCTCCAGCGGTCTCGGATACGAACCCCTTCGCGCTGGGAGCTCTACCAAGATCTTTTGGGAGCTGGAGAATAAATCCTGTGGCAAAAGGGAAAACTTTTGCTCGAGCTAGGCTCAAACGTGCCTTTCTAACCGGATTGAGTCAGAAAGCTGGGAGGCAAGACAAAGGGGAGGAGCTTCTCAGCTTTGCAGACTCAATTAATAACTGGAGCGTGTCACTACCCAATCCTGACCACTGGAGCCAGGATCAACGAGAATCAAGATCATATGAAGTATTAATACCACTTTATAATGCCTTGGCAAGGCCACACTTGGAATACTGCATCCAGTTTTGATCACCACAATGTAAAAAAGATGTTGAGGCTCCAGAAAGAATACATAGAAGAACAACAAAGATGATTAGTGTACTGGAGGCTAAATCATATAAAGAATGGTTGCAAGAATTGGGTATGTCTAGTCTAGTGAAAAGAAGAACATGAGAAGAAAAAGAAGAACAGCCTCCACCTGCTGCTTGGAGGGCCAGCCTGGTGGTCACAGCACTTGGACTCACTTGTGCTGTGCGGGCTGCACAACCAAGAGTGCACCGGCCATGCAGCCACCCACCCACCTCTTCCCACCATCTGTCTTTGCTTGCCCGTAGCCGTGACAGGACAGGCAGCTGCGTGGCCCATCTGGCGGGCCGGATCACATGCTTTTTCCACATGCCTCTGCCTCCACCTGCTGCTTGGAGGGCCGGCCTTGCAGTCACAGTGCTCAGACTCACCTGCTGCCAGAAGCTTTTGGCCTCTGCATGCTCGCCACCTCCTGTGCTGGCCTCACCCCCCACCTTCCCGAGGGCTGACGATCTTAACTGGGGCTTATTTTTTTGGGTAGGGCTCATATTATGAGCATCCTGAAAAATCACGCTAGGGCTTGTTTTCTGGTTGGGTCTTATTTTGGGGGAAACACGGTATATACTTTCAATTCAATGGAAAAACTTACCAACAAATTTAAAGTGCACCTAAGGGATCATCACTTTCAGGACTCAGCTGACGTTTTAATGCAATATCTAGAAGTGATAGCACTTCCATAAATACCACCCAAAATATGGATCAGATATATAGATGACACCTTCACTATAAAAAAGAGCTAATTAGAAAACATACACAAAACCATCAACATTTTCAAAGGAATCCAATTGATCAGGAAAAAAGAAAACAACATCTCACTATCCTTCCTGGACATCCTGATCATCAGAGATTACGATGGCAAACTAGAAACAAAAGTGTGTACTGAAAAACCACACTGCCAATCAAGGGTTCCACTATTAAAGCAATAACCCAACCTTCCACAAGAGAACCATGTAAGAACTGAATTTAGATGAGCAGAAACACAGTGCAGCAATCCTGAACAGCAGAAAAAGTAAATAGAGTATCTGTACAATATCAACAAAATAGTAACTTGGGGGTCCTCTTGGACTCGCACTCCTGTCGAACAGCAAGTAGCAGCCATGGTAATGAGGGTCTTTGCCTAACTTTGTGTTGTGTGCTGGTTACGTCTTTTCCTGGACAGGGAGGCCCTCTGAGACTCATGCTGTCTCAGAACTGCCATCCTTCATTCCAGCCCTGCTTCCCTAGATGCCACGCTGTCATAAATTACAGGGGGAGGAAGCTGGGGGAACAGGGAAACAGAAACTAAGCTTAGAGCCATCCTGAGACATCAGTTCATCATTTCAAGGCTTGGGAAATGAATGAAACACTTAAGAACTAGCCCGCCTTTGCAAGCACAGTTACCAAAACAACTTATTTGAATGTGACTGACAAATG